AATTCAATCAATCCCACATCGGATGCGTTGTCTTTGTCCTGTGAACAACTCAATGTGGCTTTTCACTCCCACGGTACGACAACAGTTGCGATTCAAACTGTTGTTAGAATAACTCGATCCTATTTACGGCTGAAAGTCAGGCCGTAACGGCTCCACACTTAGGATTTTTTGATCTTCGCCCTTGCGAGTTATCAAAACATATATCCGCGTTCCCGAGCAGGGGGCGCAAAAACCCATCTTTATTGGTATCGGCCATCCTAAAACCGTTAATATTTAAAGTCAGGAGCCACGCCTTGCTTGTTGTGCGTAAACGCGCTGGTTAATTTCGCCAGTCACTTCACTCACTGTGAAGTCAAACCTATCTTGTCTTCGAACCGTAAAACTTTGTGTGTGAGAAAGTAAACTGAGGTAGTGGTTCCGATGGTCCGCTTTTTGGTGAATTAATTCTCACAGTCGCCACCTTACATGGGAGAATTGTAATCTTTACTGCTACAATGGACAGGCTATCTGTTGGGAACCAAAACGTATTCTGCACATATGACCATATTTCAGGCGAAAGTACTTCTTAGCAGTATGCTTACGCGCAACTACTATCTGAGATTCCTAGTCTTGTCTTCTTTGTTGTTATATCAGTGTACAGCGAGTCTGAGCCTGCATTCGACAGAAAACTTCCTGGTTACCGATAAGAGCCGTCGTTGTTGTCGATTTAAGGGAGATAAGTCAGCAGAAAATATATATCAATTTTTGCTGAGACAGGAAAATTGTACATAGCAATAAAGAATCACAGAATAAATCCCTGCATCAGACTGCTGTGAATCTTACTAAAAAGAAGCATAGCGCAAAGTAAATTTGGTGATAGAGTGCAAGAATAGCTCAAGAGTGCAAGAGTGGTGTCAACGAAGGGAAAATTAATTTGGGGGCGGGAAGTTCGAGCGGCACAGTGTTTTAATCTTGGCGCAGCCTGAATACGAGCCAGATTTTCATCATCCAGTGGTTAACCGTTTTCAAATGCCAATCCTATGCATGGTCTATCCTCGACCAACCTTCTTTTATCATACAAATGTCTGTAACGCGAACCTTTGCATCTATATTAACTAAATTGATTTTTCCGAAGAACCTCTTCCATTTTTCATATTCGCTGATGTTAGGATAAAATTGGGAAAAAAAATATATGGTGGATTTTAGAAGGAAGAGTAAACTTTCAACCAGGAGGTGGATAAGCTGAGAAAGTAGAAGTTAATTAGTTTCTCTCAGAAGTATTTATACGTGTCAGAAATAAACGCGAAGGAAAAATACGACATTTCAGTCTGAACGGCACAATAGGCCTTATCTGGACTCCGAGAGTCGAGTTGAAGGGAACTACCAACAACAAGGCGGATTCAATTCAACGGATGGTGAGAGTTAGAGTCCGCAGTGTAAATGTTGAGGCGGATGCGCGTTTTAACTGGGCTCTCCGAGATTTGTTCTTTTACTGCAGCACCTAAATCGTTTCTTCCCTGTCGAGGGCAGTAACTACCGCATATTTCAAGTGCTTATCGGTTGATCAAATTGCTTTGTATGTGAGCGTGATTGACAAGTAAAAAACAACACTGTATTTCTTCGCCCACCGGTAAATAAGCTGATTGGGTCATTAATATTCTTGTCCAGATTGATGTAGTATGTTTACCACTGCTAAGTGAACTTATTCCTCGTCACTGTTCACTCTTAGAGCCCCGGAGCAAACTAGTCATTAAGAGCACAATCCCCTGGTTGTTTAAGATGTACTCTAGGTCAGACCTTGCCGAATCTACCCACATCTTCAGTTCTGCATCACGATTGGCGGTGTCTTTGATTGTGAATCCAGCTGGCTCCAGCAATCAGGGTTTATTTTATCAGAGCAGGCCGCTATTGATCGGTTTCGGCAGGCTCTTGGAGAACATTGAAGATAGATAGCAAACTACATTCGAGAATTTAATGCCAGTCTTCGTCGAGTCTACCAAGTATTCGGTCCTTCGTTTTCATTTCGTTACCAGACAGCGCAGTTACGGGCAAAATGGCACCGAGGATAATTGCGTTTTACGGTCAATATTGCTGGCCGGTAGTGCTCCCGACCGAGAGAATAGCAATTTTTACACGGGTTTGGAGGACAAGAGACAAGGAGGTAATGAATGTCTTCTGAAAGCATGGACGATATCTCACGTCCCCATAAAAAGACTGTCTTCGAGGAATTATGTGCGCAAACTTTTTTGCCTGATGAGGACCCCGCGCCTCCTTTCTTTTGCCTTTTGATACGAAGCAGAAAAATACACTAAACCTTACTGTCTGTCGTTTTCAGCAGCCATAATCAAAGACAAAACCCGAATAGAATCATCTTCGAGTCTGTTTTGGTTAGCACCAAACCAAGCTAGTACACAATCTCCTAATTTCTGCAACATAGTACTGTCGTCGGTTTAGTCAAGGTCCGTCGTAGAGCGACTAAAATCCACCATGCCACTCGTGTTAGCTATTAGCAAGTACAGAAAATCCTCACTGTCAACCCACAGGAACCTCTAATAATTGCAAATAAGTCTTCTTCTATGCGTCTTGCTCTAGCCTTCAAAACGACTATTTACAAATGCAACATTTAAGTGCCGCACGTTTTCAATGATTGTATCTTTCTGCGTTATTGCGCAAAGGTTTTAAATTGTTTCTCTTTCTTTTTCAGTCCAAAGCTTGTGCTTTTTCACAATCCATTTCTTTCTTTATAGACAACTTTCGGTGTTGTTGATACACAGTTTCGCTCGTAAGCAGACATTGGATTTCGATGTCAGCTCCCCTGGGTAAGCTGTATTATGTTCAACCTCATTTCTACCGCAGCGGAAAGGCTTGGAACTGCGGACATAGACTATCTGTTTCAGCGAGTAAGTCCAGAATCCCGGAAGACTCACGGTCTTTTTCTCCAGGTGCCCGGTGAAAATGAAATCCTGGCACAGAAACTGAGGGAAGAGGCCAGGTAGGTATTCTCAGTCACCCAGTTCAGTATAACCACCAACTTTCAGAGCAGTTCTGTTGGAACGGAAAAGCCTCGACCTCCTTGACAATGACGAACTAGCCGTATGAGCCCAAACACATGCACTTACCCCCCCCACGCCCTCTAGGTTCTCTGGAACGTGCTGGAGAAACATAAATCAGCCCCAGCCGAGGATGGCAACAGTTTCCTCACCTACCAACAATTTCGCAATGCCGCCAAGGAGGCTAGCCCCAAAGCTCAGTAAGTCTTCGGATTTCAAACCGGGGGTGTTACCTAAGACCCGAGCTTTGAATCTGTGGTTTTTTTATTAGACACCTACAGCCCAATAAATCGCCTGGTCCGGATGGCATATCAGCGAAACTTCTGAATGCGTTCGCAGAACAACAGGCCTCCCCGCTTTCCAAGATCTTCCAGAGTTCGATTGAGGAGGAGGCTCTGCCTACCGACTGGAAGCTAGGCAACAAAACCCCTCCGTATAAAGCAGGAGAGGACCTCACTTAATAGCTTTAGACCAGTTAGTCTCACAAGCATTTTTTCGCAAACTGCTCGATAAAGTAATCAAAATGGAACTAATGAGACCTATTGAGGAAAACAACTTGCTAAGCGCGAAGCAACATGGATTTAGAAGTGGTCTATCTTGTCACACTAATCTGCTAACATCAATGAAAAGCTGGACGAATTCACTGGAAATCGGTTCGTTGGTCGATAGGTTCTACATTGAAGTCAGCAATGTATCCGACAGGTTCCGCACAGAGAGCTGATCTCAAAGCTACATCGAATGGGTGTGACTGGAAATCTACTCAAATGATTAGTTGACTTTCTTACAGGCTGGCATCAGCGCGTTTATATTGGGAACGCTAAATCAGAATGGGAGACCGTTTCCAGTGCGGTTACGCATGTTACCGTTCTGGGTCCCATTATAGTTCTGTTATATGTGAACGACTGTCTTGATTGCCTCACCTGTGAGAAACTGATATTTATCTTTTTAATTTCCCTAGGAATTAATTTCTTTTCATGGTATACATCAGCATATTTAATGTCTATGTGCATAGACCGAAGTTTGGAGTGTATATTTGGACTGAATTCCGCTAGCCACTGAGTAATTCACACATGCTGCCAACGGGCAGACTAAAGTACTTTATATTGATGTTGTAACTTACCATACTACCAGCTCAGTCACTAGCTAAAGGGCTTTTAACTAGCTACCGGGTAAGTTACAGCATCAAAGTAATGCATGCAGGCGATCTGAAGATTTGGAATTCAATCGAAAGCTCAGAGGATGGGCAATTTTGAAATGCAGCCAAGGAGGCTAGCCCCAAAGCCCAATAAGCCCGGATTTAGAACCGGGAATGTTACCTTGGACCCGGCCTTCGAGTCTGGCTGGTTTAGTGGCCGGTTGTCTAAATCGATACTGACATGCCCCTCCCCCCCTCCGTCCCTTTAGACGATATTTCACGGCGACTATATTCGGCAAACTGGTGCATGGGGACAAACTGTCACGTGTCAACATCCTCTCCTTCTTCAACTACGTGATGAAGACCATCTGGCTGCAGCAGACACGCATCGGCATCTCTCTCTATGATATGACTGGTGAGGGTTACCTGCGCGAGTCTGACCTCGAGAACTACATCACCGAGCTCATTCCTTCGCTCTGCAAGGTATCTTTTTACATGAGTTTTCTTTTTCTTTTTTTCTCTTCGTATTTATCTTAAGCAGAGGATTGATTAAGCTTAGACGAAAAGCCTCGGATGGTGCCTGCCCTGATTGATTGTTCGACCATGGATTTCGGTGAAGTCCACCATATGCACCAACAGGTTGGTACAATGATGGTGACTTGCTACAGGGGGTAGTTGAAAGTGATAGCAGACGTAGTTAGCGTAAACTGCGCTCTTCACCTTCACCCGGGGTCAAGAAGACCAGATTGGATCCGGGTTTGGCCGCATTATCCAACGCAAGCCAGGAACACTGCCTAACTTAGTCTTCAGTGCTTTAGACTTTGCGCGGGTACTACCGCAATATCTGCCCTCACTCACCTTCAGTAGTTGTCAAGACAAGCTCAAGGAGGCCGAGGCTGATACGGCTTCTACTAGCTAGCAATGTAGCTGCGCGTTAGAAGTACTGGTACTAACACTGATGCAAACATTTGTCATAGGTGACGCTGATTAAAGCCAACGTTGTGGCTCATGCCCCCATGAATCCGTGTGAATTTGGGTTTAAACTATTCCGAGTAAGTACATGTTTGAGATCCTAAGCACATCAGGGCTTGCCTTGGTTTCTGTCCTTTCAATCCTATAAATCAGACTGTGTCCGTTTCTACTGGGTTCGGACTACGATACTGCTGCTAAAAGTATGTGCCTATGCTTGAGTGCCAATTCTAGTAATCATGCTCACTAAGACCAGTAAATATTATACGGCCTGTGTGTTCTTTTAGGAAGTTGGCACCCAGTATGCAATTCCAGTCTATATGAGGTAAAGCAATTAACTTATAGGTTAAATAAAGCGTTATTAAATGATAGTGCCCTATTGACTGCGACAATAGCTTTCTAAAACAGACTGCACGATTATAGGCCCACAAGAATAATGTAAGACACGGAGATAATTTAAGTGCACATTGCTTATTGCTTGGTGGGCACATACCACGCCGTTCGCTTGATTGCACAACAGATCGTAGGCTGCAAGTGGCCTAACGCCCAACGGTTAACTCAATTACCCATCGGGTCGGTCTTCTATCGGCATATCACGCGTACGCATTGGCATGCAGAAAAGGCAGATTGTAGTTAAAGCGACATGCCGTGCTTATGGTTGCCCATCGCCGAGATGGTGACGGCTATTGCTCGCGTTTGCATTATCCGTTGTTTATATTTTCCCTCTGCGCATCTAGCCGTCATGTCGCGTTCGCACCTGTCCACAAATGCTGTGTTTGCGTTTACAGCTAGTTTTTTTCTACGGGGCTGGCGATCTTGTCACTATCGTTCATTCGGGGCGGTGGCTCGCGTTCACCTGCATTCAGATAGGATATGAAATCTCGTGAGTTCTGGTCGCCATCGCTTTCCTCCCGTCTGAGTTTGCATTCGATGATCGTGCACACTTGTTTGTGCTGTTGCTTGGTGTGGGTTAGATTACCACCGTATCTGGTCCGGCTTCTCGCCCGCGGTTTCGCCTATTTTACCGTACCCGTAGAGCTCGGTAGGCTGCTATTAGAATCACACAGCGGTTGATGAAGATAGTAGTAGTGTGCCAGGCTTCCATCGTCCCCCTGGCCGTTTGACCACTCCCTTGTCCCTGCCCTTCAGCGTCTCGAAAACCGAAATCATCTCAACAAGCTGTACAATGTTTTGCGATTAGCGAGAGTTGATCCTGTCTTTGCACCGCTCTTGCGTGCTCAGTCATGCGGGTCTGCAATCTCTTGCCGGTTTCCCGACGTACTTCACTCCACAGCATCTGCACCTGATACGGTAGACGCCGTCGTCCTTTTCATCTAATGACAGGTGGACCCTTGGTTTCGCGAACATACACCTGATTTTTGCTTCTGATCCGTGGGCGCTGCCGATACCCAATGCTTGCAAGAATCGAGCAGCTGCTTCGGACACATTTACGATGAATGCTACCGTCCACCGGACTTTTGTTTAGTTGAAATTTGGTTTACTAGTTGGAATGGACCGCCTACTGTGTTCTATAAAACTCTGAAGTTACGCCATTGGCGATGAACACCTGACGTAGATTGTAGAGTTTGGTCTCTGTTAAGATGACCGAGCACGTCATCCAGACACAGACAGACATTCCGAGGTCAGGACAGTCCGGCGCATACAGAACGGATAACAATATAGGCAAAATTTTATCACCAGCAGAGACAAGGAAGACCAGAATGGCCATTCCTGGCTTATTAGCCGTCACCAGCCAGCTGTACCCAACTCCAGGCGCTGCGGCATCCCAGGCTAAAAGAACCTGCGGCCTGTTTGCTAAAGGTCCAACGCGCTAACCACTGCGCCATGGGTTCGTTAGCTTGCCAGAAATATACACAGTGGTTTTACTTGCGTTTTTGATTATCTTCAGCTAAGAGCGTATCTGAGTTCTCTGCGTCTTCTATATTACCAACTTATTTCGTTTTATTCTTTTTTTGCCCAATACAGCTGTCCTCCATTGACAAGGCCTTCCAGACCTTCTATGTGTGCACGGCCACACGCAAATTCTTCTTCTTCCTGGACCCTCTGCGTGCCGGACGTGTGCGTATCAGTGACATCCTCGCTAGCGGCTTCCTGGATGCCATGCTGGAGCTGCGAGAGGCCAGCACCACGGAGGAGCAGTTGCAGGCCAATTGGTTCAGCCACCAGTCCGCCATGCGTGTCTACGGCAGTTACCTGCAGCTGGATGAGGATCGAAATGGCATGTTGAGTCGACAGGAACTGAGTCGGTAAGCCCTGAACAGCCATGCACCGCCCCCTCCCCCTGCTTGATTGTTCCTTCCCCAAAGACAACGATCACCACCGTTTGGGCTAGCAACAGTAAGTGGTGTGAGACTTGTTGTGGTGAGCGCGACTTTTAAAGCACCTGCTTCATCTCCCCCTTTCACATGCACCATCAGACTGAGTCAATCCTCGTTGATGAACGTTCAGCGACCGCTAACGGAACTCATCTATCCCACTCTGCCTTGGGCCTTGACAGAGTCCCTGACAGCC